AAGACTGTCTCCCTCCAAAAAAAATTCAAAATTTCTTCCAAAATTCTATTCAAAAGTCAACCCTTTTGAATTCAAAAGACATGTCCATTGATCCAAAAGACATATACCTTCATAAAAGAACCTTCCAAAGTGTCTAGATGCATTGAAACATTCCAAGGGGTATTTAGAACAGATGTTCCTTTAAAAAATCGCGAAAAATTCATCCCGAATCGCCTTAATCCGCATAAAGTCGTTTCTGGCGCATCTGACGCCAACTTTCTTAAGTCCGTGCTGTTCTGTATTTTGGCGTTTAAGGCGCCAAATCTGGCGCATCTGACGTCAACTCTCTGTCAAATGGAGCTTTTGGCGCTAGCTCTCTGTAAAATGACTTTTGGCGTTAATGTGGCACATCAGACGCCAGAATTATCAAAATTCGTTGTTTTTGCTACTTTTGTTTCAAATGCCTAAAATTGATATACATGCAAAAAATACATGAAAATACTATTCTTTAAAGTGCAATTTCACAAAAAAATAAACATAAAATGTATACTTAAAACAACATATTATTTTGGTGTACAAAGTGCAAGAGCGATGTCTTGAAGATTTACATAACTTGGAATAAGTGGATTGAGACTCAGAGTAGTAAAAAGATTTGGTATATCAGATCAGATAATGAGAGTGAATGCACATGAGATGTGTTCCTATAAGAATGGCAGAGAGTCAGAATAAAATACTGTTTCGTTGTTGAAGAGACACCGCAACAAAACGGGATGGCAGAAGGTAAAGGGATGCATTTTCAGAAATTGGTCTATCACTTGATCTGTGGTGCTCTGATTAATCATCACCATTGATTGAATAACTTGAGCTTTGAAGGTGGTAACTGGTGGTACAGGTTAAGCTACTTCAAGAGCTAATTTACATCGCACGAAGTGTTTGCACCTTTTGAGCGGCCATACTGACGTGTAGTGCTTGGGCAATATTCCTTGTTACCTTCTACACGAGAGTTGCCATATTAAGTGGTGGTGTTGAGGTAGCCTTGATTGGTTGAGTGGTATTAGCATGACAACAATTAGGGTAACAAGAACCCTAGGGATATGTATAAATTTTATATCAGGGATTCTGTTATGCGAGCTCTTGCAACATCTCTTCTTTAAAATTTATAAAATCTAAACTCGCTAAATAACTAGCTACTTAGTATCACCTATTATGTACTTAGGGTCTGTTTGGGGCAGTTGTAGTTTATTGAATAATCTGCTGATAAGCAGATTAAAAATAATCTGCTGATAAGCTAGGTGCGATGGGTATTGCAAATTTTTATTTTTTTGGAAAAGTCAGATCATTGCCAATAAGTTCCCACCTCACCTAGATAAGTGCGGTGTGAAAACACTGTTTTCCACGTTTTGAAAACGCATAAGCTGCCAAAACGCAGTTTACCCAAACAGGTCAGGTGCGTGTTCAAAACGTGCGTTTTCAAAATTTCAAAATGCCACCGCACCAAATAAGTTGTCCCAAACGGGCCCTTAGTTTTAAGACGACAAATAATATAGAATACAAAGTTATGGGATGTGGAATGCAAAGACAAAATGTATTGAGTATAAAAGAAAAGTGATATTAAGCACAAAATATAAGGGAAATTAAATATAAATCATAAGAATATTAAACACAATGGCAATGTATATTGAATACAAAACTCTGATATCACTTTGTCTCACCCGGTTCTGGAAGGCAGTACAATGCTGTAACGTAGGGTGTGAATAACTGAATTGAACGTGTTTTGTATTCTCAAAATAATGATTGTAAGTAACAATAGAAATTACAAGGACATATCAATTCTATTCATAAATAAAAGTCAAACTGATACAATTGAACAAACAACAAGAAAAATAACAAACAAACTGAAATGACAATAGAAAAACACAATCCAAAACTCAAAAGAACAAAAATAATAAATAAAACAAATATTAAAATGCCAAATATAAATCTAGAGTTGGATAGTCTGATTCTATAGGGGAGGTCCTGCAAGTGGCTGAATGTAATATGTTATATAAAAATATGAACATGTGAGTTTGACAAATCAAATTCAGTAAATAACTATTTATTAAAGTATAAATGATAAAGGAAATAGAGGATGCCGTATAAACAATAAAAATGAGGTTTTCTTATGCATAACAAAATTTGCAAAAAGATCATGATATGCTCATGATCAAGAATATAAGTGACTTAAATACATGTACTTTTATGTAGTTATTTATATGTTAGCACATTAGGTATGTTTATGTGTGTAAGGTTTAACAATCTTTTAACAATACATGGTATTATGTAAGTGCAATGGTTGTGTGTTTGTGTATAATTACATTTATATAGTCAATTTTCTGCAAAACCTCGAAACAAGAGAAGGTAGACACAAATTCTATAGAAACCAACTGATTTCTCCGAGGACCCGTCAGTCCAACTAATAGTAAAATAGTTTAATATCAACATGATAATATTATAATATCATATATATTTCATGCACATAATTAAAATAAGTGAATATAACCATAATATGTCTATTAGTATTTATAAACTATTATGAAACTGCAATTATGAGGTTTAACACATCAAATTATGAAATAAATAATAAATACTGAAAATACGAGACCCAAACGACTGAGCAGAAGTTTATTCAACAATAAAATAAAACTACCTATATAATTCATTATGAACAATAAATAAAATCTATTGCAATTATATTAACAAAATTTAAAGGATTAGACAGACAAATCTATAAATAGCTAAGAATTTAAAACAAGTAGTAAGGATAATGCCCCTAACTAGGAAGAGTACGTTCATCCCATAACAACGGGTAATATTTATATCTCGATGAACGCTAAAGTCGAAATTTATTAGTTGAACCGATGCTGACTAATAAATCTTACATAAATCAGAATCCCCAAAATTTAATAATTATGCAATTAAATATGTTAAGATTACTTATTTATTAGGTTAGGTGTAGGGATTGATTTGAAATTAATATTATTCTAACATAATGAGACATTGAAGTAAAATAATAAATTTAATTTAAATTTGATAACAATATTATTGAAAGAAACATAAGTAGAAATTAAGGAGTGAGTTCACCTTGGGCACTGGCTACAGTGATGAGGAGTGGCTGTGAAGGTTCTAGGAGGAGAAAGGTTGGAGTCTTAATGGTTTATCTATGCCATGATCCCGTTTTCCCTTCATGACTAGCTCTAATTGCTACTGTATTGTGAGGGTTAGGAGAAGGAAGGAGATGGAGGGAAGAGAGATTTTTGGTGGCTACGAAGAGGGAGGGTTGTTCTGTTCCAATCTTGATCCTCCTTATGTTGAGCAGAGAAACAGTGGCAAACAAAAGAAAAAAATCAAGGAGTGTCGCGTCCAAATTGGGAAGGTAGTTCACATGAAAGAGGAAGGCGGTGAATCGAAGAAGGAAAGATATCACAATTCTAAAAGGTGGCAAGCAAAAAAGAAAAAAAAATCGTGCGATTCACGCGATTCGGGAGGCAGGGCGGTGTGACATCAATGTAGTATTCATAGAAAAAAAAATTGAATCTCACAAGTGACATCCTGGGAAGTTATATTATAAATTCATATTTGAACTTTATAACACAAATTCTAAAAATACATAATAGCTAAGATCTTTTACATTCATGATTTTTACATATCCATAATAAAGTAACACATATCTGTATTCATGATGATAAAATTTGATTTTAAGTCTCTCTCTATTCCCTTGAAACTTTCTGCACTTTCTGATGGAGAGAAATGTACGGGGTGTGTTAGGAAGAGGGATGATCCATTCTCTGAATTATGCTCTATTTAATCACCATCTATCAAGAGGGTTACTAACTAATAGAATTTATGATAATTTAATAAATTAATTAATTTTATTATTAAAATCAATGATATAAGTTAGTAATCTCTATTCATTTTATGGGTTACATGAGTTATAAAAATAAATATCATATGTTATCATAAGTTTTGACACAAGCTTATAAATAAATAACATAACTTTTTATGATATCATGAGTTATAAAAATAAACAGCTTAAGTTATTATTTATTATGACATAAGTTATGAGTTAAAAAAATAAATAACTTAAGTTATCATGAGTTATACAAATAAATAACTTAAGTTATCATTTATTATGACATAAGTGACATAAGTTATGAGTTATGTTATGAGTTATGAAAATAAATAACTTATGTTATCATGAGTTATAAAATAAATGACATAAGTTATTAAAATAAATTTGATATGTTAGTAAAATAAATGTGAGCCACAAATAAAAATTTAACAAGTTGTACAATGAGACAAAATCATGAGGCCATTAGGCCAAAGTGGACAATATCTTGATAGATTTAGAGTTTGAGTTGTTCCAATTTATTCTTGATACAAGAGTTTATATGTTAGTCTTCAAACTCTCTATCAGCTTTCTTTTTCCTTGATTTCATATCATGAATAGAATCATGATGGGTTTGCCTATCTAAGCTGCTTCTTTCAAATTATATATGCTATAATCCTTGAAAAAATCAAAATCTTGTTTTCTCTGTGTTTATGCTATTTTTTCATTGCTGTGTTATCACAACGATGGGCTTATTGATTATCTTGGAAAGCGAACGATAAAATACATAGAAATCATAATGAAGCCTAAGCAAAGGACTAGATAATTAGAAGTTGTTTTTCAAGCATATATTAAATGCATAAACTTGTTTTTCTTTTGCTTCTTTTTGTCTTCTACATAAATAAACATCAGTTTGAAAAGAAAATCTTTATGTATCTGAAATTTGGACATCAGCACTATTGTTGTTCATTCAATTATACTATTCTAATATTATTCATCCATGTATAAACATATTTCTTTATAGTTTGCTTACCATAAAGCACATTTTCTTTTCTCCTGTAGTTAAAATATCAATGAGGTGATTTGGCACTTATCAGTATGTACTTCCATGAATTTGGAAAATTAATCTTTCTGAAGTATTAAAGTAGCATTACAGGTTAAAGAATCACCAGAGAAGCGACGGTGGAGTTTCCGAAAGAAACATGTTGGGCATCATGTGTCAAGCAACAATATAATGTCAGAACCTTCGCCCCTTTTTAGCGAAAATCAGAATCAAGAAGCAACTGCTGGTACATTTTATTCGGAGAAAACTCTATCAGACCCACAGAAAGTGACCACTGCAGAACAAACAAGTCCAACACTGCAATTCCTATCATCTGAGGTTTCATCTGGAGTACATGAGGAATTTTCCAGTACATCAACTGTCTTAGTTAATAATAATGTTCCAGAACATGTCATTGTTATCCAGACTTCTATTCGGAGATGCTTGGTAAATCCATATCTATGTTCATAATCACTAAGAAATACAAGCTGCTGGATGCTTACTTTATAAGTTCTTAAAATGTCTGCAGGCTCAAAACGAGCTCCAGAAGCTTAAGAATGTTGTAAAGCTTCAGGCTGCTGCACGTGGCTTTCTAGTTAGAAGACAGGCTGCAGGAACTTTGCGTTGCATTCAGGCCATTGTCAAAATGCAAGCACTTGTACGGGCTCGACATTCTGTTCAATCTGCAAAGTTAATTGAGAAAAGTAACATTGATGAGTTTATACAAGCTGATGTGGTAAGATTTTCCTGATATATCTTGCATGAATTGGTTTTTCTTTTGGAAATATGGTCTAAATATTTTTCTCCCATCCTTGCAGGTTGTTTTACTAAGCTTGTATATTTAACTCTACTAATTTATTTACTTCAGTTTGCCTGTCAGATTTTTTTTCCATTTTTGTTAATTGAAACTCTTATGGCAGTGTTTACTGCTATCTTCTTTCACGTTGTATGATTTGGTCAGTATATAATATTTAAATATCATTTTCTCCCAGCTTCAGGTGAAGCAGTCTAATAAAGAACTAACTAAAACACCATCTGCAATCAGGAAGTTAGTCTCTAGTGCTTTTGCTCGTCAGGTATGCTAAGCATCGTCTCCTGTGCTTTCCAGGATTTTATTTTTATTTTTATTTTTTATTTTTTGGGGCATTTGTATGCATAGCACACAATTATATTTTATTTACATATCTCATACCTAAACTTTCATATTTACTCATATGGCACTCAAATCTTTATTATCGCATAAAAATAGCACTATTAGCACTTAAAAAAAAAGTTAAATATGTCTTTTCATGCATAGATTTAAAGCACCAAAGTGCTATGTATGTAAATATGAAATTTTAGCTGTGAGATATCTAAATACATAAGAATTGTGTGCTAGGTTGTTTATTTTATTTTATTTATTTTTTCATTTTTCGTGTGGAAAATGCTCTTTGTTTATAGGTATTGAAAATGTGTGCGTGTGTGTTTTTTTAAATGTTTTCACAGCTTTTGGAGTCCACACCGAAGGCCAAGTCCATCCGAATCAGCTGTGATCCTTTGAGGCCAGATTCAGGTTGGAATTGGTTGGAGAGATGGATGGCCCTAACATCAATGGATCAACAAAAGCTCATTCTTAACCCGGAGGATCTGAAGAACAATATGGCATTCGACCCGGCGGATTATGAAGTTGATGATGGGGTGCATGTTATTCCACATCATGCATCATCAGATTCACTGGCAGCTGGTAATTCTCTAGAAGTGCCAGTGGTTGAAGATGATCTTATAACTAAGAGTTCTAGGAGTCCAGAGCTTTCGGCTCCTGCATGTGTTTCAGATCAACTCCCTCCTGTTCAAGATAGTGAACTGCAGTCTCCTGTTCATGAGACTGTTGCAACGGAGAATCACCACGACCAGTCTAAAAGAGAAGCTAAAGAAATCTCTATGGAGAACATAGATGCCAGTTTACATTTTGAACACGATGGTAATCTAAGCAAAACTGATAATACTGAAGATAACCTTAAGAAAAGTGCCAGAAATGAACTCATTAGTGCTGAAAAATATGAAGGAGACAAGGGTTTGAATGGACCTAGGAAGTCCAAGAATCCAGCTTTTGCTGCAGTGCAAGCGAAATTTGAGGAACTGAGTTCTGCTTCTGATTCTAATATATATTTTAATTATGTGTCGAGTATGGTTGTTAGTGTATCAAAATCACCCTATTCCCAGGTGGATTTCATATCGAAGGAAGATAGTGAGAGAAAATCAATTTACTCTATCAACGGTGAGGAAGTTAATCTACATGAGAAACTATCCAGCCATAGTCCAAAAAGCCAAGGTGCTGCTTCAGGGTACGCAACTGGGATTTCTGTTGACAGACCAAAAGATTCTGTTACTGAAAATTTTCCAGAACAAACAATTTTTGATGAAATAAACCATGGTGCACTAAGTGATACCAATGGTTTGCAGAAATTTGATGAAATTAAAGCTGAAACAAAGAACGATTCACCCAAATTGGTTACAGTTCAACCACAAGAAAAGGAGAGTAGCAAAAATGCAGCAGTTCATGTGGATGAAAATGCAGAAGATATATATGCTGATAAGCCATCGCCATATGAGACTCCCAGAAGCCATACAGTTGTTGAAGCTTCTGCTGCAACGCTTTCCAGTCCAAAATCTCTCATTGTACGAACTGCTAAATCAGAGGATAATTCCCCAGCAAGAAAGATAAAGTCCCAATTAGCAGTAAAGAATTCACCAACTCGTTCAGTAAAGAGTTCACCAACTCATTCGTGGAATGATTCAGATGCCCGAAGGGGTACAAAAGATTTGAAGAGACCAAACTCATCTGGGAGTGATAGAACTTTTCATGTTGATCACGAAGGCAGAAACAGTAGCAAATCTCTTCCAAGTTATATGCAACTTACTGAGTCTGCAAAGGCTAAGATCAACACTAATTTTTCCCATAAATCAAGTGTTGGTCTCCATCACAAAGATAATCTCATAAAGAAGAGACACTCCTTGCCAATTGGGAATGAAAAGCAGAGTTTTTCTCCTCGAATGCAGAGTCCAAAATCTCAAACATCACAAGATTTGAAGGGAAGCGGTGTTTCTTTTGATAATTCTAGTGGTGAGCCTTTATCCTTCATTTTTCTATTCTCTCTCTTTTTACATTAGTGGTTACATATGTTCAAAAAAAAAAAAAATTAGGTTACGGTGGGTTTCAAATATGTTGGATTTGCTTTGAGATGCAGGCAATTTAATTTTTTATTAATTATTCATGCATTGCAATCATCTTGAGCAAATTTAAAGACTTTGAGACTCATCCTTATCAAACTTTGATCTGTCAATCAGGCAGCTAAATTAAGAGTTTTTTATGATTAAAAGCTTCCTTATTTTCAATATCTTTATTCTGATTTATATTCTTTTAGTTGAATATTTAGATTAGAAATATATTTTATTAACTTACCTAAAATAGATTATGCACTTTATTTTGTATCTAAAATAGATTGTAAGATTATTATTTAGTGGAATGAAAGCAAAGGGAAAAGGCATTGAGCCTATTCAAGATTCAACCTATTTTTCTCAAAACTTCGACTTGATCATGACGTTTTCGCTCGAAATACTATATATCTTTATATATATATATATAGATATATATATATATATAGATATATATATATATATAGATATATATATAGATGTATGTGGAGCACAGAAATTGTTAGCCATTGCCTTTCTGCTTCTTTCATTAAATGATGAATATATTATATAGGTGAAACCTCATATGTTTTAAATTTAACTAATCTCTTATAATAACTTGGATTCCTTCCAATTGAAGCATATCACATATGATAATTGCCATTTTTTATATTTTTTTACTTGTCATTTTGTATTCAGAAGGTTCTCCGGTTGAAAATTGGATAATAACTAGTATCGTTGGACTCCAGAATTAACATATATTTCAGGCATTCTAATTTTTTTTAGCTATGATGCTTATGAAAAACTAACAGATTAATTGACCCGGCTTCTAAATGTAATACAATTTAATAATCATTTTTTTTTCTTCCACCAGAGAGGAGATGGCAAATATGAGTTGGACTGGTTAAAAGTAGTGCTATTTCACTGCAATTACAGAATTCAGATTGTGGACGGTGAGTTGAATAGTGGTTATTTTTATTTTATTTTTATACTTTTATAAAATATTCATTATGTGATGTCCCCTGCAATTAAGAGATGTGAAGTTATAGCTGTAATTATACATGTATATTGACAATACATCAGAAAACTTGCCTTGAGAGTGGAGATTTTTTTTTAATCTCCAATTGGGGTTTCTATGAAATATTGTGTTTGTATTTGAGATATTTACCTCCATAACATGAGAATTTGGTGTGTGATGTTTTTATAGAACTTTTAACCTTTTGAATTTCGGTTGCAATGAAAACTAATAGCAATGCTTTAATATGAGGTGTATAGCATCTCTACAGTATAAATTTGCAATGTTTGATACTTTTCTTTTTCATCTGCTCCCAGCATAACTGAGTGGAAATAGTATAATATGCTAAATTAGTATTAGTAAATCTTTAATAATATTTAAACAATCATTAAGTGATATTGAACTAATGTGTTCGTAGTTTGCTCTCTACTTATATTGAAGAGCCACATTTCAGCCTGGCCAGGGATGCAGGCTCAGCCTACGGTTAAACAATCTTATAGCTGGGTACTGGGTGTTGAAGTGCGGCGAAAGGAGTGCCACTTTCAATTCCGTCAGTGCTTTTGGGCTGGCCAAACTAAGACGAGGAATTCTCAATTTGGCTGTCTGGGCTAGCTCAGGTTGGGGGCTCGGTGAATCAGCAGGCAGCTCCTCCTCCCTGACCCAAATAGCACAAGACCTAGTTTCGTTTGATAGCGTTAGTTACTGGGGTTCATATGAGCCAGGACCCTTTGGGTTTAGCTGTGGTTGAGTTCATTGGAATGCTTGAGACTAGGCTTTAATTGGAGCTTGTTCTTTTAGGTGCAGCTTAGGTTATAATTTAGTTTAAATTTAAATTAGGTTTGTATGGGAATTGGGTTTAATTGGGGTTTAAATTAGATTTATTTTTAGGCTTGTATTAGGTTAAGTTCGAGTGTTTTAGGATAATTTAGATAAGGTTTAGGTTTTAAGTGGATTAGATTAGATTTGATTTAGATACAGGTTACGTAAATTTAATTATCTGTTTGAATTAAGCTTAGGTTATATTAGATTTGTTTGTATTCAAGTTAAATCAATTTTACGTTCCATTTTGTTTAGGCTTAAATCAAGTTGAGTTTTAGTTCCGATTAAATTTATATTGGGCTAGATTAAAATCAAGTTTAGGTTAGATTAATTGAGTAAAAGTTAATTTAACCCACACTTAATTTGAGCTAATATTAGGTTTAGCTAAGTTTAGTTATTTTTAAACTTGTTTAAACTCTATTTCAATTTAGTTTGTAAATCTAGTTATGTGTTAGTTTTGGTTTTGATTCAGTTTAGGGTCGATCTTTTATGTTTAATTTAGGTTTTAATTGAATTTGAATTGTTAAGTTGAATTATCATTAAGTTTAGTTTAATGTCGATTTTGTTTGTAGGTTCAATCGTTTAAATTTGGTTTAATTGAGGTTCAATTTCAACTTAAGTTTAGGTTTTAGATTAGGTTATAATCTTTGATTTAGCTTTTAATCTCAACCAAAGCAGCCCCATAAGCCAGCCATGCATTGAACCAAGCCAAACCCAACTTGAGTTTGGGCTCAAATTCCAAAGTGGATTTCACCATCGGACTCCCAACTACACAGAATGAGCACAAGTCAAATAAGAGTTCTTTTGGGACTATAGAAAAGGAACTGAGCCAGGCAAACTAGGACCAAGAACCATCTAGGGGCACTATGGAGTTCTAATCCCAGGGAAGAGAAGGCGACCTGATTGGATTGGGTTGACCAATACTGTGGTCAACTGTTTGTCAGTTCTACCTTTATTTTTTATTACATTATTAAACACATGATGTATAATTCTTTTGTTATTCATAATGATAATAGTTTGCATGAATAGCCTCATCTTAATTTATTATTCCACATAATCCTGCTTAAGTTTTACGATCGTTGTATTTACTTTGTCCGCATGTTACTTACATTAATTAAAGGTTTATGTAATAATCATGCTTAATATCAATAACATAGGTTATTTTATTAATAAAATCTATATGGGAAAATTTGCTCAAACAAATACTTGTATATAGTGAGTGTAGTTTGGTAAAATTCTTTTGGAAATAGGCTAGCTAGGTTGATCGGTCCATTAAGTGAATACTCTAAAAGAAATTATTAGATTGCATTGGGTTAATGTCTATCATTATGATCTTAGGAAGTGTGAAAAAATTGATTGTAGATATATGAACCAAAAGTGAAATTCAATAGCAAATGAGGCATATTTAATTAAACTTGAATTGATTATATTGAGAAGTTTGAGAAATATAAACTATAGTTATCAAACAATTTTTCATAATTTTCATCTACTAAAAGTTACTTATTAATTGTGTTATATATTATATTTAAGCATTATTTTAAGATTGAGATATGACAGCCTGTTGATATCATTCACTTTTTGGTAGTATATATGGTGAAATTTTCTATTTTGTTGTTCATGTTACAAGCATTAATACTCTGTCTTTATATTTTATTAATAATGGTTATTTGCTTACTTTAGTTCATCAAAGTCACTTATTAATATTTTCTTATAGTAGGTTTTGTTGGTGTGCTCGGTGGACCAACACCATAGGAGTACTTTAATCAACATTAGATCTCTTTTTGTATTTTTAGTTTGGATAGTTTTGATTTTATTGTTTTTCTTTTAGTTTTTTTTATAGTTAAATATTATTTCATCTCCTTGTTAATATTGTTGCAACTTTTTTTGATTTAATAAAATATTATTTTTTAAATTAATATATATTATCTATTATTGTTTTTTTGTAATATTTTTTTTCTTTATTACAATAAATGGTTTTATATCTTTATCACACCCCATATTGTCGAGGCGTGCCATCATCTAAACTTCAGATCTAACAGAGTGATATTATAGTCATATTTGTATTTAATATTCTTCGTCTTTTTGGGACTAAGCAGTGGGATAGATTATGCTAGATTATTGTTAATAATAATTATTATTATATTGTTTATATGAATATTGAGTAATGTATTATGTTTTGATTTGGTGTAACGTAGCAAGGATCTAAAAGACGTGATGTCGTTGAAGATCGCACAACCAATAGATTAGAGACACTGTAGGGGCCAAACCTTTACCTAGAGGTCTCCCCTCCCATGTTCATTGTCATGTTAACCTTGCTCAACACACCCAATATGGCTACCATTGTGGAGATGTCGACACTGAGCACCCAGACATTACAACTCAAATCGCACAAGCAAGTTAGCTTATCCAACAATAAGTACAATGACACCACAAGCAACTCAATATATGCAATTGGAAGCTACAAATACACCAGTTGTCAACATGGAAACCCAAGCTAATCACTTTGTAGGAGATATGTTGGAATTATAACATAAGTCATTAGGGATGCAGATGTTAGTGTTGGAATTATAATTTCACTTGAGACAACTACTATTGAGGGTGCAATATCTTGGAGTCATGGATTAATTCCGGAGTATGCATTCTCCAAATTTATCATTATGCTAGGTCCAATTAGACCAAATGCATGTCTCTGCAATATTGATAAGAGACTTGAGGTATAGAGTCACCCGACTAGCGCAAACTGGATATAGCAACATTACAATTTCGCGGAGGCATCAATGATTGGTGGGAAGTCACAACCATAATAACTATGAACCTAATATGGTGATCTTTGGGAAGAATTTGCAAGTCTATATTTGGAGTAATATTTTTTTTTATGATATATATCGCTAGATTGATGAATGAATTAGAGAGGGTTGAAACAAGAACACAGAATACTAGAGAAATATGTGATTGAGTTTGTAAGGATCATCAGATTCATTTTCTTAGTTGGTCAACATGAAGTTTAGAAGATACACCACTTTCTAGTTGGCTTGAGGATAGACATTGAAAAGTGCTTATATTTTATCAAGTGTATGACCTATAGAGAGTTGGTGGATTGAGTTATTCACATTGATATAGAGATCAAAGTCTATAAATATAAGCTTGTTGGAAAGTGAAAGAATGCAAACATACAAGTAAATGAAAGTTCTTAGAAGAAGCATTATCAAAATTAGCAGACATATAAGTCAAAGAGCAATCCTCATTGTGCCTATTTTGGGAAATGACACTTATGAACAAACAAATTGATTGTCAAAAAGTACTTTAATTATTATAATATTGATCACAAGGTCAAAGATTGTCCCCTCAAGAGTCAATATCAATCTGATTTGATGATAACCCAAGAGAACAATTTCAAGCAGCACAAGAATGGAATAAAAAAATCTAATAAAGGTCGACATTAGAAACAAAAAGATAAAGGGCAAGTAGAAAAATTATATTTTCAGTTTTGATAGCTACTATGACAATTTTGGATGCCTCAACTTCTTTTGTAATTCACTTTTACATAACATTTCCAACAAAGATAGATTCTTGTTTCATGTTCCTAGCAATAAGTAGAGCAGTGCCTGCCAAAACGACCTCATGCTCAAAATCAACATAAACATGCAATCCTACCTTGAGTATTTAATATGATCCAACAAAAGGCATGTGAAACTCATGATTTGGTGACATGTATTATTTGACTCTAGCATATTGCGTTCTTTTGTATCACATAAGCTTGCATATATTGCATTAATTTCTTAATTACAATCATACATATCAATTAATATGTCATCTGACACATCTATGAGCGTTACTTGATGTGCTCATGATTATGATATTATTGTCCATGATATGCATATGTTTGTTACAGTTATAGATTTTCAACCATTTGATTTGGATGCAATGTTAGATATGGAATGACAATCTATATATCATGCTATTATAGATTGTCATTAGAGGCCAGTGAACTTCTGCATATCTCACATCGTAGTTTTTTTATGTCAATGATACTATAGAAGCTTTCTCTTGTGTAGTATTAGTAATTAAAGCTCATATGATGATTTTTTTATGACCGTGTTAGCTTAACGTTCATATTTTGTGTTTCAAGAACTTATTCATGTTTTTTTTTTTTGATGATTTTCATGGCTTACCTTCTGACCATGAGATAAAAGTCAGTCACAGACATACTTTTGGGGACCAATTTAATTTTTAAGGCATCTTAACACACTACCATTGTTTGAACTGCATGAGCT